CGTAAAAAAATATTTATATCTGCTAGAAATGAGTATTGTAGCAACATTTCTTCCTCGAAGAAACTACCTACAGACCTACGGAAAGGATACGTTTTTTCAGGAAAATGTACAAAATCCAGACACAAAGATTGAAGCTTGCCATCTATCTCCAGGCACGGAGTTGCAGCAGACGCGCTGCTGAGGCCAGAAAGCCCTGTTTCCTCTTTGGCTCTGCTCTGATTTCAACACTTGGCTACAACAGTTACTCAGTCTGCCATAAACAAATCAGCAAAATACCATTTTGAAATCATAATGGCTGCTGTAAAGGGCAACTGTGCATGTTCTGACCCATAAATAATCGCTTTGGAAGAAGGGTGCAGGCAGCAAAAATGGGTGGTAATTCCAGGAAGTTGTTATATTTCTAGCTTACACCACGCTCTAAAATGACTGGAACCAGTCAAATGGCTTTGCAGATTATTTTCATGAAATAGAACTACTCTTGAACTCGTTAGAGTTACTCTGCTGTAAATATTGCAGCAAACATAAGCTAGAAAGAATGTGCCACAAAGCTACAAAAATTGTAATATTGAGGAAATGTGAACAGAGTTCTCTAACCAGGCTGGTATTGGAACAGCAGTTCTGCAGGATTTCTCTTTTCCTCCCTTCAAGCTAATTCAAGGCTTTCTATAGATGTTTGCGTATGTGAAGCTTTTGAGACAGCTGGGCAAGTTTGCACAGACAAATCAGTTCACCACACTCATATTAAGTGCTGTTTTACTCCCATTTAAAGCAAAAGTGCTGCAAATGCTTTTTAAAAAAATCCTTCCTTGAGTACTAAAACTCAGCACTAAAAGGTGCAGCTACCGGTTGGTTACTGGAAGGGAGGGCATGAAAGGTGTTGGCAAGGTCTATGGTTCCAAGACCAAGGGCATCTTGTATGCAGCCATGGTATGCAGAGGACTGCAGTGTGTGGGGCGGGTGGGGCACATATCTGTGGAAGAGCTCCTGCAGTCCTTACACTGGGGGACGAAAGGTACCCCACTCAAGTTAGGGTTTTCCACATGACAAAACTGTTATTACTGCATGATTTTACAAGAAAAAAATATAGTGAGAATCACATTTACCGAGCACCCAGCATGGGAATCATTGGGGGAACAATCCATGCCTTCATCTGTTGGAGGTAAAGGATCTTGTGGTTTTGTCATTGCTCCTACCCTTATCATAAGGAAGAAAGATAATCTTAAGAATGGTTAAAAAGTGTGGTCGATGTGTAACAAGGCAGCCTGCAGGAAGGCATCTTTGCTGTTTTTAGCTCAGCTCATTGCAATGCATGTGGATTCCCTACGAAGCTTAGCCAAAAAAAGAAGAAAAAAAAAGGTTTATAAATCCATCATAAATATTAAACACCAGAGCATACTGGCAAGTTTCCCTGAAAACAAACTTCAAGAAATAATCTCCAAAAAAGATGTCATGGCCCTTGGGAGAACCGACACTGGCATGCCATCAGATGTTGTCTCATAAGGCTAAATTAAGCATCTGACCAGATTTTAATTTCTGTAAAAACTCGTGCTAATTTAAATTGCTTTAGATTTAATTAAAAATGCTTTTGTATAGAGATAATAATGTAACCCTGTTAATTAGTATCAAGTGGCATCTAGAGGGCATATTTAAAAACTAATCTGGAGAATAAATAGAGCTAATTAACAGTCAGAATAATGCTTTATGATTGTTCTTTGTTTATAAATGCAGTAATATTCAACATGCTTATTAAATTAAATTAGTAATTAATAAATATTAAAGTTAATTTTAATGCTCTTTGGTTAAAGGAGTATTTCTTCTGAACCATTTTTCAATCCATTTGGACATGTTTCAATTCTTATGGGGGGGGAGCTGGGAAGGGGAATCTCTGTATGACAAACCACATAGAAATTCAATTAGAAGCAGCTCATTCACCTCCCATAATGCAGACCGTATGGGTTTATGAGCCTGCAGGGGATACTGACTAAGGCATGAGTTTGTGTCTACTTGTTCCTTGCCAAAGCAGGCACCACCAGGGCTGTCCCAGGGGAAGAGTGGCAGCAGAATCTGCCTTCAAGATCTCAACAGTGCAAGAGCAAACAAAGAGTTGTGGTTCAGGCGGATGAGGGCTGCTCTGAGTTCTATTGTAGTATCATTTAAAAATGATGACGTGCTCAAATTCTGCAGGATGGAGGACTGGAAAAGCAGGTGGTGCTTTTACAGCGATGATGCGTTGCCATCCTCTCTCCTGACAAGAGCTGAGGTGACAGCTGGGCAATCGCATGCACCGATGGATGAGCTTAGAAGAAAAAGGGCAGGCCAGATTTGGAAGAAGATTCAGTTTCCACATGACTTTTTGCAGGCAATCATGAGCTCCTTCTGAGTTCAGCTGGGCCAAGGCAGCTGCTGGGCTTTGAGCAGGGCAACGGGAACTTGTGCTGGTTCTGGAGGAGCTCGTGCAGATGTCATCAGAGCTGACCATGGCTGTAGGGCTCAGAGATGTCCCTGTCCTCAAACAGAAGTTCCCGTTATCTTCCAGTCTCACCTATGATGGCAAATTTGAAGGGATCCACTAAACCAAGAACAATCACTGAAGTAGTCCCACCTGCATCACGCATGCAAAGAGAATCAGCTCTGTCTTTCTGTACTGTTTAATGGTTAAAAATCAGAAATAACACCTTCCTGCCTGACCCTCTCCCCAAAAAACCAAACAACAACAACAACAAACAACAAAACCCAACCAGAAATAAGAGGCACTTTCATTTGGTTATTTGCATCCACATAGTGCAAGTTTTGAAGCCTCATCAAATGCAACATATGTTCTACTTGTATCTGCTTGTTATTCATAATGCTGTATATTCTTCCCTTTTTCAATGCCTTGCTAATGATGAAAAACCCTTTAGCTACTCAGTGCAGAGTCCATTTCAAAAAAACAAAGCTCCTCTTCTGTCATGTAATGCTTCAGCATTACTTTGTAGAACAAACTTTCAGAATCCACTTTGAAGAGCACACAAAGAAAACAGTAATTATTGTTAACAAGATTAAAAGCTAGCCACAGGTCCAATAACTGATGCTCTAACCTCTGCAAGATGACTTTCATGCCAGATTGCAGACACACGCTTCCCTCTGTAACAAGTACGTGTTCAGCCATAACAAGAACAAGACGAGATTATTTACATAGTGTAGATAGGTGTCAGCAGACACGTACTGAGCAGCACCTGAGATCCCAAACACCAGAGAAACGATCAAAGGAATTTGTCTGTGTACTACAAGTTGGACTAGCCTCAAGTGCAGACAAAAGCACTGGAAGAAATATGAACATATGGTATAACACTTCCCAGCATGGCAAACAGCCATGGCAACCACTTTTGGAGATATAATTAGATTGGGGAAGCAAAGCTGGAGAAAAACAAAGCCAACCATGAACTCTGAAAGCATTTCAGCTCAAGGTCATTGAAATATTTGCCATGTAACATCATCTGTGATAGCGTTCCACTTTTTCTTTTCTGATTGCTCTGCAATGCCAAATAAACCCTGAGAAACACAGTTGAAAATAATAAAAATGAAAGTGCACTACAGCGGTTAGTAACACTTCTGATGCTGTTTATTCTGGAGACTAAAACAAGGCAGGAACTCAAAATAACTATCAAAAATAATTGCTGGTTTCTCCAGAGCAGAAAGCAAATAAAAGCAATGTTTTTACAAGTACGTAATCTGGAAAGGGGTACTTGTGACTTGTAAACAAAAGTTTCTGTATTTTTTCAAAGAATCAGTGACATAAATCTTTCTCATTTAAGATCGCTGCTCTTTGAATTCATCTGCCCTGCACAAAGACTGCATGATTTGGGAGCTCAGAAGGGCGCTGTGTGCAGGGGATTTGTGGTACCCGTGGATTGTGACAAACACTCCCCAGCTCTGAAACACCGCATGGATTCGGAAAGTTTTCTCCTGAAAAAGATGCCATTTTTTTCAACCTTTATCCCACAAAGCTCAGCTAACTCAGGTACACCTAATGACTAAACCGGCCCACTGTGTACCAACAGTGACTTGCAATTTGAAAGAGCTACAGCTGCCCCTTCTAGAAACAGGAAACCATCTGGAACAGCGCAACACCAAACAGCGAAAAAATAAAGGTTGGATATGAAATCTTATTCATGATGCCCAGACTCTGCAGCCCTCATTTTAAGCTCCTTTCTATATACGTAGGATTCAGTGCAGGGGAATTGGACTAGGTGATCCTCAAAGGGCCATCCCAACTCAAATGATTCTCTGATTAACTAACAATACACCATCTAATACAGAGTAAATAACAATAATTAAAAATACCACATGTCATTCTAAGCTCCTTCATTGATCCTTCTGTTTTCAGGAACTTACAAGAGAAGTAAGGAGGCTGTAGCACTGATAGCACAGGTTTCTCCTCCCATGCAGGGGACATTTAAGCATATCCCTGAGCATAGCTGGAGATGGCTCAGAGATGAACAACATGGTCTTACATCTGGCTAAGAAAAGCTTAAGCAATATAAAGGCCAGCAAAGTATTCAGAGAATGCATACAGGATCTTAATTCATATTGACTTTTCTGCTGCAGGTCTCCTCCTCAGTGTTTGCTTTAGGATGAAGGAGAAGCTGCTGATGAGCAGGAGATTAAAAATACAAAACATCCCCTCTTCACAGCGAGATTGGTTGCAGCCATGGAAGCATTGGTACAGTGAACCCACACTGTCCCAGACCCAAGAGATAAAGTCATCTACTTTCCAAAGCTGGTCTTAAGGTTGTTTTAGTGGTTCCAAAAGGGGAAATAACATGTTGTGCAAGTTAAGAAACTCCTCAGATAGGAACTCCTGACCATTATGTGTCTGGGAAAGATTCAAAGCAGTAAAGACAGTGAACCGCTTGTATCCAGTAGAAGCCTTCCACAAGTGTGAAGGAAAGACAGGCAAAACTATTCCAAAATTTGAAGAGGTATATATTAAAAAAGTGGTGTAGTGAGTAAACTCTTACCTAAAACTCTCAATCTCTCTGCTCCGACTACCACTTCGTTGTCATCCGCAGAAAACAGCAATTTTCCAGAGAGGGTTTTCACCTCAAATTTTTGGCTGTGTGCTTCCACTGCTTGGGGACCTAGAGAGAAGAGACTTAGTATAAGCTTTGAGTGAAAGTGGAAGAAAACCACATAGCAGTCTCCATACATTTAACAACTCCATTTGCTGAGATGACTCTAATAGCTCTGCAGACACAACCTGCATTTGATGCAACAAACAGCAATGCCTGTGCTTTACAGAGGGTGACCACTCCATAGGAAAGGGCACCCAAATAACCCTCAACTATTTCTACTTATGATGTTGTTTAATGCTTATGTATGTCCTTAAATTGCCATTAAGCTTGGCGTAACTGGTAAATTTCTATCAAAAGACAGAATCACAAATAACAGTGATTGCACACAGCTACACTTGGAGAGCAGTGGTTCACCTTGCTTGGATTGGTGCTGCACTGTAACAGATTCTTGCTTTTGTGCCTGCTAAATACGATACTGCTGTCATGCAGAGTCCAATGAAAAAAAAAACCAAGCACAACACAAAACACAAAGAAACAGCCAGAAGCAAGACTACAACAGAGCTTTGCTTTAAACCTGCAGTTTAAGCTTAGTCCCACCTCCCCAGGATAGTCAACCCTGGGACCGTTGCCCTCCTGGTCCAGCAGAAGAATGAGCCATGAAGGGAAAGGAACTGAGCCATGCCTAGGCTGAAATGAACAGCATGGTGTCCCGCATCTCAGAAAGTTTTTAGATGAGTAAAACTTTCCTTCTGAGCTCTTATTTTAATTTCACTGCTTCTCCTGCAGGCTGCTGCACAGTGCAGTGCTGAGAGCCTCTAGGCAAAGTGTGCTGTTGTGGAACCTGATAAACATCAGCTGCCCAAACAGCAATTCTGTGCAGATCTGTGGCTCAAACACTACAAAGAACAGACCCTCTGTTACCTGATCTCAGCTAAGCTTCACACAAATTGCCATCTTAAAGCCCCACACAGCCCAGAACAAATCCCAGCCTCCCAGCCACATGTTACTGTGCAAGAAAGTGACTGGACTTAGCTTTACTCCTGCCTCCTTCCTGCTGAGTCTCATTTCTCCAAAGTGAGTACTTTCTTAAAGGCAGTTTCTAACCCCACCTGTACCCAGTATTTCCCATATTAGCATCACAGCACACAGACTCATATGCACCATTTGGACTACAGAAAAGTGAGACCCTTGTATATCTGCTTCTGCAGAAACACTTGAAGCCATCCTGAGAAAATAAAATACTTTTGAGTTTTAAATTTGATTTATATCTCACTAATTAATTGCTTCCATATTCATCAATGCAGCACATGCTATGTGGGATCACATCTTCCCTCCACTTGTGAACCAAAGCTGTTCCAAGCTGTTCCAAGAAATGCTCTCAGTGACCAGGACATCACAACAGGCACATCACACTGACTGTGTCCTTCCAAATTCTCCTGAAAAGGAGGTGCTTAGGGGAACCACACTCCCTCTTGTAAGTATGTGCAGAACCAACAAACGAAACAAGTTCTGAACGTGAGAATCTGTGAGTTTGGGGTTGAATTCATTCCATTCCTCCAGGCAATTTTCATGCATGACACTTAAACCACTGCTTTCTGAAGTGGCATATTTAATTATTTAATACTGTGACTAGAAGCCAAACTGTTATTTAAGCAAACCAAACAACTCAGCCTCATGCAGAAACAGCATGCATATGGATTACTGGCTTTGCCACACTGCAGTGCTTCTCCCAGTCCCTAGATAAATCTCAATAAATAAATATCTATCCTATATCATATATACATATTAGTATTTTAAGCTCTTTCAACCCAAATTACACATGCATCCATTCAAAGGCAGCTGTGCACTGGGGACTTATGAAACACCCATTTATCCATCACATACTCTAATGCTTGGGAGAATCAGTGTTCTTCATCTGAAAGAGGCATAAAAAGCAATAAATTGCCCAGAGTCCAAACCCAGCCACAGTCAATCAGCAGCGTTCCCAACATCTTAGGTAAGCTAAAAGAGTCTCAGGAAAATCCTGCGCCTGCTAGGACAGAGATGTCAGCCTGCATATGTTCTTCTTGACCCCGGAGTTGTACAGCTAACCTTTCTGTCTCTGGATTGGCTTTCAAATGAAAACGATGGTCTGCTTCGTTATCAGACAGCACCAGCCAGCTGCCTCTCTCCAGCACTGCTTTCATGTCCCTACCTTTGTTTCTACAAAGCAGAACAAAGTTTCCATTTGTTCTTCACTAAGACACCTGGGCTCCCCTCAGGCGAGCTGTGTGAAGCCAGTGCAGCATCCCACAACACACCTGCTTTCATCTCTCTGTAACAACTCCATGCAGCCTTTCCCCCTCCTTACCTGTTACAAGGCGAGTGAGGACTTTTGTCTTCTCATTGAGGATGTTCACTGTAACGTTTCTGGCAGACTGGAAGTATAGTGGGTTGCCCTGGAACAAGACCACAAGAACAAGCACGTGAGATGGGGACAGCTGCATGGCTAGGGATGGGGTGAGGTGCAGGTTCAGCTGCTTGTGCCCTTGTGTCGGTCTGTGCCTGTCTCATCATTGCACAGTACTGATGTAACCCAGAATAGAAATGAGCTTATCCAAATGTGGCAGCCAAGGGTACCCAGAAACAGGCAAACTTCCTTTCCCACTGCTTTCCACACTGCACATAAGCATACTGGTGCAAGGGGAGTTTTCTGAGACTCCTTATATTTGCGTTCGTTCCTGATCATGGAATCATTAAGGTAAAAGACCTCTAAGACACTCTAGTCCAACTGTCCACCCACCAATATTGCTCACTAACCCATGTCCCTAAGCACAAATCTCCCTGCTTCTCCATGCTTCTGTTTATTGTCCAAGATAAAGCCACAGTCCACACTTCTGTCTGGCTAAGAAAACATCCCAAAGACTACCCGTGTTTTAGGGATAATCAGCTTTACTGCCAGTATGTGCCCCCAGCTTTCTATCTTAAGATTCAGCAGGTGATGCTGGATCTGATCTGAAGTTTGTGGTATTTTGGGAGGCTGATTACAGCAGTGCATTTCAGTCAAACCTGCAATATTGCACATAGCCTCAGATGACTCCAACACTATGTACATGCATGGACATGTGTTTTTGTGCCCAGAGAGCTCTGAATGAGAAAACCTTGCTAACATGCACAAAGTGCTTTCGGTCCCAGAGCAGTTTATGAGCCATCCAGCAATTAGAACCACAACCATGCAGACTGGGATGCTTCACACCAGACCCATCCCATCAGGTCTGGAGATAGAATCATAGAAACATTAAGGCTGGAAAAGATCACTAAGATCATCTCATCAAACATCAACTCATCCCCTGTGTGCCCACTAAATGCAACAAGACATGAAGCCTATCCCACTCCTCACTTGACCACACCGATTTCTGCCTACTTTTCACATTTATGCTTTAAATGCACCTCTGGGAAAGGAGCTAGAGCAGCTGTTAACTGGAGTCATACAGCTACCTGGCACCATCCGACTCGGGTATTTCTCCCACAGAGTGAAGCCAAAGGAAACCCACAGTGAAAACCATCTGGCTCCTTCTGTGTGCAAACACATCCAAGACACCTGGGAATCTGTGTTTCCTCCAGGCAGCCCCAGTCCTCACGGCTGGATTTTCAAGGGCTATTAGCCACCTAGGGCACTAACATGGGGTGAGTCCAACCTAAATCAGCCACAAGTCTAATGTGTGAGGTAGAAATTCACTGCCAGCAGTTCTTTCTAATGTCTAAAGCAAGCAGCTGAATAAACTCATTAATCAGCTAAGCCAGAGGATTAGTAGAGGGGGTGCAACAGCAAGAAAAACAGCAAGGAGAGGAAAATTCTATGCCTGTGCACTTCTTACACTGTGCTTTCTTCCCAGAGATTCAAAAAATCTTTCCATTAAGAATGAACACTGAGGACAGGGTGTGTAGGTCAGGCACGTTCTCCTTGCTTCTCAAATTTATAAGTATATAATTAATATTTGTATAGATGTTTTCTAAATCACAGCAAAAGAAGCAGGCTATTTGCATATGAAGCTTAATAGGAGCACAGGGATGAACTCTTTGGAATCATGCACCAGAGCTTCAGTTGCTGGGCAAAGAGTTCCCTGCAGCAGTAAATGAAGCTATAAAACTCACCCCAAACAATGCTACATGTGCACAAATACTCATGACAATTTCATCAAGGTCATCTGGTCCAACTCCCCTGCAATGAGCAGGGACAAATACAGCTAGCAATGACTGCTAAAGATTTTGCTCTTTTTTTAATTCACTTTGGGTTCTTCTACCAAGCACCTGGGAATTAATGTTGATGACTATTATATGGTTAATGGCAGAGTTAAAAAAGATGGCTTCACTTGAAGACCTGCTTCCTCTCACCTTAATTCTCTGCAGCCCTGACCACAGAACCTAATTTGAACACCACCAGAAACAGCAGTTTACTGCTACGTTTTCATTTTACGTGTAGAGATGAAAGATATTTTAAAGACAGACAGCTACAACATACATAATCTGGAGTCACAGACGGGACTGTAATCATTACAAACACTTCTGTAGCACAGAAAGGTCGCGTTTTTGACTTGCACCATTTGACTTTTTTATGGAGTTAAGCAAGTAGATAAAGTGTTTTGAAAAGGCCAGGAAACCTCCTAGGCCAAATTACGGTAGGAAAAATCATTCAAATCCCAGGACTGGTTAACTTTAAAACTCTGCTACTGATCTGCATAACAACAGATTCACTACAGAAGCAGTGCAATATAAACCAAGTGTAGCAGAAAAAAGGCTGCCCCAAAGAAGGCTTACAAGCTGAGCTAAGAGCTGGTATCCATCTAAGGAAGACTTAAAATACATAACCAGAACCTGAAATGTTCATCCCAGCACAGTCACCTCATTCACTGTTTCAGAGCTCAGATTCGTGCAGCTTTTGAAAAAACGAAATTTCTCTAAATGGAAGAGTTATGTTTTTATTGGTCTGCAGAGAAGGCCCATTTCAAGTACTTAATGCAATGCCTGCTCTCATTTCCATAATTCTTCTTCCATTAAGAAATGAAAATAGATGGAAAAAAAAAAAGAAAACATTTCCTTTTGCTGAAAATTCTGAAGATTTAGTGTCCATCATCTTCTGTTTACAAAGGTAACAACATGACATATTTTACGTACTGAACTCTTAAAAATTTTCCAACTGCAAGCTTAGTAATGATGCCAGCTTCCCTCAATCACACACACAAAAATTAATAGACTAAAGCATTAATTCATTCTTAAAGTGGTTAGAAATCATAACTGAAAAAGGGAAACCTTTCAATTCTCTTAGAATTTCATGTTATCGTGGCATGAAGTTAAGCATTCTGGTGCACTTCAGCAAATGGAAATCTAGATCAATAAGGCATCATAGAATCATAAAATCATTAAGGTGGGAAAAGACTGCTAAGACCATCTAGTCCAACTGTCAACCCAACACCACCATGCTCACTACCCCGTGGCCCTCTGTCCTTTACCCTGTAAAGGACCAACAAAACCACATTCTGACTTTTTGGGGTGTGCTCGGTATGTGTGTTGAAATCACAGACTTTACAGACCTAAAGTTAGACTATGAGCATGCAACAAATAGCCATGACTGTAATTATAACATGACAGCCAAGTACATACCACATATCTAAGTACAAACCACATACACAAGATATACCACATTTCTGAGTGGGCAATAATCCAGGTCAGAATCTTTCTAGATAAATAATATCAAAGAAATCACACATATATTACTCTTGGACACGATGCAAAGAAAACTGAAATGAACTGAAAACTGAATGTAATGCTCTTTTGAGTTTATAAAAATAGAAAAAAGAATCTTCTTCTGTTTGTCTATCAGTTTATCTAAAAGTGGTTCCACTCAATTCTTCAGGAAAGCATATTTTTGATAAAATAAATCTAGTATTTCAGATCACACAACAATCCCACATATTTCCCTGCCTGCATGCTATCTGATGTACTGAGAAATCTCTTTTTCTGTCATTTGCTCTTCACTTCTATCACAAATACTATGCTGAGGTTTCCCTGCCCCTCTCTTAAACACTGCTCCCAGTCCAGGTGCTGGGATTAACATGCTCTTCATACTTGGATTTGGTCGTTGAAACTTTAATCTCCTTACAATGGCCATCTATGAACTTCACTGCTGTAGAGTTAGCAGAGCAATAGCTCATGTTCGAGTCATCCTGTGGCACTGCACTGAACCACAGTCTCTCATTTAACTGCCTGTGCAACTCGCAAATTGAATTAGCAGCCACTCCTTTCTGACACCTTTTTACACTGCAGGTTCTTTCAGTGCTCACTTGGATCATTCTGCTGGAGAAACAGAGCTACAGACATTGATGGGAATAAGATACATTATTTTCTTTCTTCAGGTTTTGTTATTTGCTTCTGACACGTTTCAAGCATTCTCCTTGCAAGATGCTGACCCTGCACTGGGTCACCATTCCATTCACAGAACCATACATTCATTAAGCTTGGAAAAGACCACTAAGATCATTAAGTCCAACCATCAACCCATTACCCATGCCCACTAACCATCTTCCATAATTTCTGGGCACAGGTAAGTCTGGGATCCTTTGAGGACTATTTCTCCATTTCCAGCCCACCACAAACCTATTGTTTACCTTTGCAGGAAATCTTACATAGCAAACACTCATCATTCTGCCTATTACATCAACACTTCTTCAATAGCAGACTCAATCATAACGCAGATGTTTGTATACAGAAAAGAAGCAGCCACACCTATTACACAGATTAAAATGTTGAGCATACACTGCTGAATGAAGGATTTGAACAGTTCAAAAAAGATGTCAAAACAGTGTAGCTTGCTTACCCACTAAGCAGGGAGGTATTCTGTAAAACACAGAAGACTGCAAAGGGTATCAACTGATTGCTAGGCTAAACACATGGCAAACAAGCCCTAACAGCTCATTGGGTGTTTTTCTTTGGCTCATTTCTGGAAGAGATGCTAAAATTGCACAGATCAGAGACCAAAAGGAAAAAAAAGCACTTTGGCAACCCTCATTTGCAGCTGAAGCAATCCCAGCTAGTGCAGTCTTTAAGGAAATTCAATAACAGATGTTTTAGGGAATTATTCAAAATATGCGGAAATCTTTTTAAATTTTAACAGGCAATTTAAAAATAATGCATCACAATCAATGTCCTTCTATCTTGGGTGGTTAAAAGCAATAGCTTTGATTTGATCTTATGGATTCAAAGAGCCTGCACAGTAATTGCACATAAAGCTTGTGGAAATAATGAAAATGTTGAATTTCCCGCTGGCTTGAAAAACGTAATGAGAAAAAATAAAATATTAAAGCTTCATCCAAGTTGGAGAGGAACAGTCTGGAGATGCCATTCAGAGCTCCATTTTCTCAATGACGTACAGAAGAACCTTTCTGCTCTCTATGTAGTTGCA